TGCCCAGAGTGGCCACCAGGGAAAGCTGGGGAGGGCTAGCCTCCCACTAGTTTGAATTAAGTGGCTACACAGCCCTTAGTTCGAACTACTTAATTCGAACTAGGTGTTAGTCCTCGTAGAAAGAGGTTTACCTCATTAAGCGCTCCGCTAGTTAGAATTAAGTTCGAACTAGAGGTTTGTATGTGTAGCGCCTATGAAAGTTAATTAACTTTATAGAGTAGACATACCTGTACTGATTAATTGTTCTGTGTCCTGATCTTTATTTTCGTTAGTGATTAAAAAAGTTGATGATAAAAGATAACTGATGTTGTGATACAATGAAATTAGACTTAATTTCATCAAAACCAGGATGACCGGCTGCTTTGGCATGGATGGATCTGCAATGAGTACCTACAGCAGGGATGGGGAATCTCTGGCATACCAGCCACATACAGTTTATCAGGATTAGCCGCTAGTGGGCTGCCAGATGCTTTGTTTACCTGAGTGTTCACCAGCATGGAGCCCTGCAGTTCCCAGTGGCTGTAGTTCACCATTCCTGGCCAATGGGAGCCACAAGAAGTGGAACAGAAAGACACTATGTTAATGGGAGACACTCTCCCATCAACTACCTTACTCTTCTCAGGGAGCTGGAGTACCAGAGTCAACCAGAGAGCACTCTGAAAGCAAGTTAGTGGGTCTTTACTAGACCCCCTGAATCACCACTGCTTTATCAATCGCAGCAGTGCCGATGTACTGGTAAATGACATGGGCTAAGAAAAAGTAGGGAAAAAAATGGTCTATGGATTAACCTGTGAAACCAAAATTCACTGAAAGAATTACCTTTACCTTGAAGCCTAATAATCTGGGTTCTAGCAGTATGTAAAGCTACTGAGGAACAAACCATAGACAATGTGTTCCAGAACTGAGGAACAACAAACCATAGACAATGGCACATCTGCACAAATCTAAAGTGTGTCTATAGAGGCAGTGTTGACAGCCATTGAACTGAACTATAAATCCTTTATATGAAGGAAACCACTTTAAGCCAGGAGATGCTGCAGCAGCTATATCTCTAGAAATGCTTCTGTAAATCTCAGCTGCTGCAGTGGAGAATAAGGAGAGAGTAGACCACTGAGGCAACGTCTATACTGCACCCTTCTTCTGCAAAAGCTTCTGCAAAAGAAGCGCGGAGTAGGGGCCGTTTTTGCACAAGAGGCTTGTTTGTGTAGACAGCTCCTTTTTACGCAAAAACCCCCTCTTGCACAAGAGCTGTTCTTCCTCATTTTTTCAGGAAGAATGGCTCTTGTGCAAGAGGGAGTTTTGCACAAAAAGGAGCCGTCTACACAACTCCTTTTTGCACAAAAGCCTCTTGCACAAAAACGGCCCCTAATTAATTATGCAAATGAAGCGTGGCAATATTCTACTCTACGCTTCATTTGCATAAGCTTTTGCAGAAGAGGGGTGCAGTATAGACATAGCCTAAGTGATCCAGTCCCACAATCACTAGGACAGAGGTAGGCAGTCTGCGGCCCGAGGGCTACATGTACCCCATTAGGCTTCTACGTGTGGGCCACAAGACATTTTGTTTACTGTTGCCCTCACACAGGGTTGCCAGATTATGCTGGTTTTTGTCTGTATAGTTTTTTCCTACCAGTATTACAAAAGTGACATGCACTTAAAACAAGAGCATGTGAAGTGAGGTGTGTACTGATTGCACATCACATTGTGAAAGCTGTGCGCTCCCTCTGTATCCAATCAAAGTACTGTTATGGCACAGTTGCCACATGCCTCAAATTTTACGTACACAAGTGCACTTAGCAAAACTACCCTATCCCAGGAGACCATCTTGGTTACAAAAATCTTTTGGTCCATTGAGAGGAAGGAGGGACACTCATGCAACCCACTCACTAGCCTAGGTTGCCCCTCACTGACCTAGGGCCTAATTCTGATCTGACAACACTGTAAGAGTTAAGTCAGGCATTTGTGAAGAAGCACAGGAGAAAGCACAAGGATTCTCCCCCACTATTCCTTGTGAGCTTGTGCAAGAGACTGGGTACAACTGAAGTCTCTCTGCTTGGGGGCACAAAGATGATACATAATATGAAAGATACTTGCCTCATGTGGAAAACTGAAACCCCTGAGGTTTTAATCTTGGCTGCTGCCTCATCCCTGTCCATGGGACATCTTTTTTATAACATGGACCAAATGCAGAGGGATGTTTTAATTCAAGAAAATAATATAGTCCTCTCCTTTACTTGATGCTGGCCACAGGGTCTGAAGAGATCAAGAACTGTCATCTTTGCAACCTTACTGAACAGGACTCATCTCTCTATCCTTCCTTTGCTCTGTTCAATGTTCATTTCACTGCTACTGCACTGTGATTATTTAGACTTTGGAGAGTGGGCTGGGGGCTTGAGAAATCCTACAAAATCTTGAGTCTATCCGGTCAAAAGTCTGGGATGAAACACGTTTAGTGAGGACTGATTCTGTCATGTGTTTCTGTTAGCGTAAACCTCTCAAAGGGGGGAAGAGCCATGGCCTGCCCTCCCTCCATATTGACGCCTGCAGCAGTCCAAGTGCTTCATGGGAAGCAGGCTGTAGCATCCTAAAGGACACACAACTGGCTGTTCAAAAAGAGGTGGTGCCTCTCAGGTCTCTCAGTATCTCCAAGAGGGGACAGCTGGTAAGTGGCAGTTTTTGGCCCTGAGAAGTTGCAGCATTGTCAAACAGTATAAATAAGAGAAAACTCAAGTCCATAGTGTTTGACATGAAAGTAGCCATAGACACTGCACAGACTGTGTGAACATCATGACTAAAGCTAAACATTAATGAGCCTGGAATTAGCATAATGAAAATTCTTCAGTTTTACAGGATTCCAATGCTGGTTGAAAACTCACTTTTTACAGAGGCTTTTACTCTCTCGCTGTCCATCCCTTCATACCATCTTGCTCCTCCCATGCATCAGATTGATCTGAGTGACAGTATTAACTCTGCTTATCAAGGAGTTCTGTAAAGTGTTCTGCATATTTACCTGATACATTCTGTAAAGTGTACTGTCAAGTGTTCTGCATATTTACAACTCTGTATAAAATAGTAATTTGAGCTCTGTACTGCCATATAGAAGTTTGAACATTTACCATAGGATCTAATTGCCAATCTGGCACTATAATTTTGAAGGTGAAGTCTGGAAATAAGGATCACAACATGAGTTGGGGCTGAGAGGAGAAATCTGATGATATCAAGTAAAGTCTCAAAATATTTTTCCAAATACACAATGCTCTATATTATTTACTACCCAATTTTTATCCACTTTTCTCTCTCAAACTTGTCACTCTCTTTCCACAAACTTATAACATATTTGACAATAGAAAAAACTGTTCAGCAGAGTTTTTAAAAATTGAATCTAATGGTTCAGTATTATTATTCAGATAATACTACACCTTGTATGAAAATACTATCATCTCACTGCTAATAATTACTCCAGTTCGGAGCTGTTTACCAATATTAGAGAGTCTGTACAAAGGCCTTTGCAACCAGTTGAGCCCATCCCACCTTCTCTCACCTCAGAGGAGGGTGTAGGAATAGCTGCTACATCAAGGATCTCTGAACTTCTTGCATGCTGTCTGAGGTGTCGGAAGAAGACTTTATACCAATTTTCATGAATCTATTTAGTCTTAAAACCCCTGCATAGGGGTATTAAGGACCTGAAACTATGATTCCATCCTCCAGGGTCTACAATAACAGCTATAGAGGAACTCTGTTGGAACCCTCTGTCCTTATCCTGGCCACATCCTGAGGCTGTGGATTCCCTCAACCCCTATGGCATTTCCTGGCAGAAAGACAAATAACTGAGGAGAATGGGAAGGAAATTTCACTGCTTGACAATCCTACTTATTCCCTCAGGATGTAGTTTACAATTCAAGTCTATATCACAAATGTATAATACTAATAGCAGGATGAAAGTCCATAAAATACTTACAGTTCTTTGTACTATACTTACACTTAGTAGTGTAGCTTCGGAGCAACCTTTCCCTTCATCATTAAAACTTGATTCCATATTGATGATGTCATCAATAACCTCCTCCATCTAAGGAAATAATATTTTTAAACTATTAATGATGATCCATATTTTGATTCTATGAAACTAAAGAGAGAAATAAACTGCAGACAACAACAGTGAGTTAAAAAAAAGATCAAATTCTTAAGTCTCATACAAAGTCTACCATCTGTGCAAGATTTTCATATATATTAGTTCCCATGTGTAAAGCGAAAGTGGTTGTGGTTCATTAAGTTACTTTTTTTTCCCTGAATACCAACAGTTCTTTACCCATTCCCCCTTTCTGAGCCTACCACTTTGTCACACCAAGATCAGATGTCAGGAGGGCTGTGGGTAACTAGCAACCATCAATCCAAACCCCTCTCAAGTGTGTCATATCCGTAACACATTTGTCTACTGGTCCAGGAAGGCTGCCAGGAATCTGTGGTTGTTCAAGAATCCGGGTCACTCATACTGAAGCATATAATGCTGCTGCCAAAATTCAGCAGGCTGAGTAATGTGTTTTGAAGCACACAAATTGACGACACCTCAGTTTGGGTATATCCAAAACAACCTGTCTGATCCTAGCCAGAATCAGAAACATATGACACTGATAAATAAGTAAACTGAAAAATATGTTAAAATACTTTTTGAAACCTCAATATAGAGTCAGCTTGAGTTTTGACTAACAGTGTAGATTGGTTCACAAATGTTTTAAATCCTTAAAGCAGTCCTGAAGAAGACCCCTTAGTCAAACATGGTTGCTAATTAAATTGTGAATATGTAAGAGTCATTCATGTTAGGAGACTCTATACAAAGGGAGTTATTAAGGGAACTGTAAATGAAGAAGCTATGAGGAGATGCCTGCACACCCTATGCTCCCACATGTCAGCTACCATGAAAGGCCACAAATGGGGCAATCCAGTGAAGTTTATGTAGCTCTGCTGGCTCCAATACTCTATGCAACTGGCACTGGAAGTCTCCAGTCACTACAGCAGCATGCCCAGAGAGAGGGGAACTAGACGGCAGCTTCCCTCATTATTGGTTCTACATTAGGATGCAAGATTCCGCCTCCTTTTACATTCCACCAACATAGACTTCAACTACTCAAGAATATGTAGATTGAAATGCATCCACACCATACTCATAAGAGTCTTTTTTGTTCTATTTAAATACCATGATGAGATTAACCTATCCCCTTTCTTATGCCATTGGGTGAATTTTCCTTTTGCTAGTAGGCAACATCTCTTGAAATCTACTGAAGGCCTCCTGAAGACTTATATCTGAGTGTACAAGATGTACAGGCCAAGTCCTCAGCTGATGTAAAGAGATGTCACTTCACTGAAGTCAATGGTGGAGCTGAAGTCAATGGAACTACGCTGATTTACAACAGCTTAAGATTGGACCCACATAAAATATAGCAATTAACTGAAAAGTCAATGAGCAAATTTAGTCTGATCTGGTGTTTAATGTTACTATATAGTATATTTGAAATAACATTTTTAGACTTCCATTTGACAGGGGCTTGGTTTTCATATCTAGGCACATATTCAAAAAATGGAGAGTAATATATTACTGTCATACTTCAACTTTGCTATCTTTCTGAAAATACAAAATATCTTGATGTGCCCTGAAAGTTGAAGTCTCTGATTCCATACGCATCTATTTACATACACTTCAGCTGGACTGTTTCTTTAAGCACAGAGTACTCAGCTGAATGAAGGTTGCAAAGCCAGACCATAAGAAAGGGAACACTGATGCGCTGCAGAAAAGAACTGGTACATATCTATTTAAGTATTATCCACAAATCATATATGATGTACAAGATAACCTCTATTCTCCCATACTTTTCCTAAGCCCTGCCTATATCTTAAACCTATACGTCATACCACATTTTCATGATGTCCTCCAAGAGCCAATAATTTGGTAACCGGACTGTCTGGAGCACCGATATCGCTGACAGGAGGCATGTGTCCGTTTCTTAGTATGGGTGTAGCTCCTGCAGGCTGGACTGTGTGACAGTGGGACAGTGCAAGGGTCTGGCTGGAGAGCTTGGTGTCAAGTGTCAGGTATTGTTTCACTTGATGTTTCTGGCTCTGCTGAATGTGGTATCTAGACCGATTTTCCAAGTGTGTTTGCACCTGTGAGGAAAAGGAAATAATTTTCAAAGTTTATACTTACAAAAACAAATATTTATATATAATGTTGCTTTAGAATGTAACTGTGGAGAAGAACATACAAGGCTAGAACTTCAGTGGGAGTAGATAGACACAGCTCCATTAAAGTCAATGGAGCTATGCTGACTTAAACCAGGTGAAGATCTGGCCCTTAAATCAGCATTCCAGAATTATTATGAATCTCAACTTTTTGGTAGATTTCACTCTCTTAGATATTAAATAGATATTTCACAAACCGTTGTCCACCCCAATACACTTTATAGTTGTATTATTAGTTTAAATGATGGGAGGGGATAAAAGAGTAGAAATACAATCACTATACATAATCTTGAGAATACAGAGTAAATGTGGTACATCTCTTTCCTATTTTCAAACTTGTGGTTCATTTCTAATTGAAAATACTGATGTGCAAAAACTGGCAATCATATGATTAAATATGTATGCACAATAAAGCATAAATATTGTTTTATAAGTGTCACATGAATAAAAGGATTCTAAAACATGCAACTCTAATTGTTCGAGCAAGTAAACAGTAGCATTCATTCATCAAATCTCATAATATATTTGCTTAGCTCACCTTGTAGTAAGAGCAGTCTGTTAAATGAGGCATTTTTGTATTTTTGCAAAGTAAAAAACAATGCAGTTCCAAATACAATCCTAGATGGATACTAACCAACCCAAAACCATACCATTTCTCTTACAGGCTCCACTTGAAGAATGACAATTTTTGAAGACGATGGGATTTTATAACTAAGTGGTCATGCCAAAAGAGCTAATTGAGTAAGACTGTAGGCCATCCTTTAATTGCATAGATTGACAGTTACTACTTCAAACGGGTCCCATTTCAGATCACTGTCACATTCCTGCAATTCAACCACCACAAGAAAACTACGCACACAAACTGTACTGTCAATTCAGCCCTGTGGCTCTCTTTCTATGATACGGTATGACTAGTCACAATTTTCTTGTAATCAATTTTCTTCAAGTGGCCTTTGTACAGACATGTTTAATACTCCTTACACAATAGTAAATCTTGCTTTGCAGCCCTTATTTTCTCTATTTTTTCATTCCATTTAGTAAGCTTCTTTTTATTTCCCTCACCATACATCAGCATAGACAAACAGTCTATAAAAAGTGTTTTGCATTTAAATTAGCTATGTTTTAGTACAATATTGTTGCGCTTATTTTATTAATAGTGTTATACTGGTACTTTTAGAATTATTTTAATTGTAGTTCCCATAAACTAAGTCATATAAAAACATTAAATTTTGCAATAACAAATATACATATTGCTATTGGATACATGATACAGACTTTAAAGACGCTAAATAACATTTTAGCAGAACATTAGTGTAAAATATTAAAAATGCTATTTAAACAATCCTATAATTTAAAGTTATGAATATATATGTTCTATTCATAGCTACCATATATATATATATATATTGTAATCACTTAATTAACAAGAAATATTCAGATGAGACCATTGTGATCGTCTGGTCTGGCTGCCTGTGAAACACAAGCCATGCAACTCCCCCAGAATAATTTCTAGAGCAGATTATTTAGGGAAATAAACCATTTAATCTCATCACTGATGGAGAATTCACCACAAACCTTGGTAAATTGTTTCAATAGGTAATTACACTCATGGTTAAAAATGTATGCTTTATTTCTAGTCTAAATTCAACTTCCAGCCATTGGATCATGTTATATCTTTCTCTGTTAGACTGAAGAGCCCAATATTAAATATTTGTTCCTGTAATGGGGTTTACAAACCCTAATCAGAACATAAGCAGAGGAAAGAGGAGAGGATTCCCCACTGACAGCAACCAGGCTGAACACACTGGTAAAGCTTCTAGAGACGCGCGTCCGCAGCTAAGTCCAATAAAGACACAAGCCCAGCTACAAAGGAAGACAAACAGAGAAAAGGGAGGCAGAAGGACCCGAGATGATGGAGGAGCTACAAACCTAGGCTGACTCCAGGGAACTGATAGAGAATTAAAGAAAGACTGCAAGCCCTGAAGCTTAAGGGCTGACTGAGTCATTTTATGTTAAATTGATGGACTGAGCTAATTTCACCAAAAGGAGCCAGTTTGGTGAAAGATGGAACATTAAAAAGGGGATTACATATTGAGTCTTTAACAGTTCTCCATGCAAGTACTTATAAATCAAGCCATCCTGTAACCTTCTCTTTGTTATGCTAAATGATGGAATCCATTACTATAAGCCATGCTTTCTAATTCTTGCATCTTTCACATGGCTTTTGTGTTATAAAAGTTATCTGAGTTATCAACATCCTTCTTGAATCATGGACACCAGCACTGGACACAGTGTTCCGGAAGTGGCAGTATCAATGCCAAATACAGAGATAAAACAACCTCTATACTCCTATTAGAGATTCCTTTTTTATGCATCCCAGGATTGAATTAGCTCTTTTGGTCACAGCATCAGTGGGGAAACTTGTGTTCAGCTGATATCTACCATGGCCCTCGATTTTTTTTTAGTGTCTCTGATTCATAGAATAGAGTCCTCCATTGTGTAGATATGACTGACCTTCTTTATTCTAAGTATATACATTTTGATATATTAAAACACCTCATCTTTGTGTTCATCCAGTTTGCCAAGTGATCCAGATCACTCTGAATCAGTGATCTGTCCACTTCATTCTTTACCACTTATCACTGATGCTTTTATTGTTTTCTTCTTTGATTTTTGGGAAGATCAGTGAATATTTGTGACACCTTATTGCCAACTGGACCACCACTTCAATCCTTGTCATATTGCATTGTGATTTCCATAAACGAAAATCAGCTAGCATAGATTCAAAAGTCAGGTTCATCATCAATGTTTTTCTTGGATGGTTTTCCTTCTGTGGGAGCAACAGAGATCCTGACAATGTTGTAGCAGATGTTTTACAAGCAGGAAAGCATTTAGAGTTCCTCTGATGGGTGCCATTTCAGGAGGGCAGGAGGGGACTGCAGCCATGCAAACTGGAGCACTGCATCTTCTTCCTCTTCCCCTCACTATGGGTACAGCTATACTGTGCGGTTTGTTTTCGAAGAAGGTATGAAAATTGAACTCGCATTTGCATAGCTTCTTCTGATTTTTTTCTGGAAGAGGATTTTCCAATATTTGGACCGTCTACATGGGGCCAAATGTCGGAAAAAAAACCCTCTTTTGGAAGCCCCCTTATTCCTCATAAAACGAGGTGTACAGGGGGCTTCTGAAAGAAGGTTTTTTCCCCGATATTTGGCCCCATGTAGACGGGCCAGATATTGGAAAATCCTCTTCCAGAAAAAAAATCAGAAGAACATATGCAAATGCAAGTGCAATTTGCATACCTTCTTTGGAAAAACCCACAGTGTAGCTGTACCCTATCAGGGAGTAAGGGGAAAGTACACAGCTTGCATTACTTACTCCTCTGCTCTCTCCTCTCACCAGCTAGGAGTGAAAAGAATACACTGTGTACTTTGCCCTTGCTCCCTGATAACAATGTGCTTCTGGACCAGTAGAGGTTGCCTCCCATGTGTGTCTTTATTCTGCTCACAAAGCTCCAGAAGAATAGCTTTCTCCATGCTAAAGTTCTGGATGCACTGCCCTCAGGTCTGCATGATGATGTGATCCCACTGGTCTACCTAGAGGGCATCAGAGCTATAATGAGTGTACTGAGAAGCATCAGAGAGTTTGAGTCTGCCATTCTGGACTAAGCCTCCTTCTCCTCCATCATAAGCAGTTTAAGATGCCTTTGGGGGGGGGTCAGAAAACGCTTCCAAAATATCCACCAGTGTCTCACTGGCACGCTGCCAGTATCCTGATGCAGAAGTAAAAGCACAAACAAGAAAAGTTCTTTCAGAAGTGCCACCTCCATGTTGCTAGCTCCAATAGCTGGGAGTGCACTGACAAAATGATGACATGGTAGGTGGTATTGGCAGGTTGTTTAAAGTGCCTGATATGTTTAGGGTGAACAGTCACGTCTTCTCACAGTGCACTACGGTCAAAGGAAGAGTGACTAGGTGTTGGGTGAACAATAGGGGGACTGAGTTATGGTTGGTTTGACTCAGGTCTGCATGCTGCAGTGTGGATGCCAGAGCCCCAGGTTTGAGTCCAGGTTAGAAAATTCTTAACCGAGGTTTAACAATTGGTGTAGATGTACAAGGCTCTTTAACCCAGTGCCACTAGTGCTGGGTTTATGTTACAGTGTAGATATTCTCTGAGACTTGGTGCCATGGACATACCATTAGCAGGTCAAGCTTCATTTTCAAAAGTTTTAGGCACTTAGGCCCTTAGGCCCACTCGGCCAAGAACTATGCTGCAGCTGGGAATGAGCCTCCCAGGCCAGGCAGACAGATTGGAGCAATGGGGGTTCATGCTGGCATGCTAAAAGTAACGGTGTGGACACTGCAGACTGCAGCTTGGCTGGAGCCCGAGACCCACATTCACATTGCTGCTTTCAGTGCAGTAGCACAAGCCCCATTAGCACGAATGCATCTAGTCTGGACTGGCAGGTTCTTTCGCTGCTGCAGTATAGACATACACTAGGTGGCATGCAGCCTAGCAGACTTAACATTAGGAAGCTACGTGCTGTTTGGGTTCCCTATAAAGTTCATGGGATAAGTCAAGCACTTAAGAAAGGGACTTTCAGAAGCTAGACAGCTGAGCAAGGAGTGTATAAGCTGCCCACAAGTGAAATGTTGAGGTGAGGAGAGGGGCTTAGGCACCCAAATTACTGATCAGATGTGTTTTAACCACAAACCCACTCCTGAACTTGGGTACCTAATTAAGTCAGCTGTTTCATGTCGTAATAGTAAAAAATGTTTCTCACTCTCTCTTTTTGATCTGTCTTCAGTTCATGCTTGATACTTCTCTAACTATTGACCCACATTTCTCTCTGTCCCTGGTTATCTGCTGCATAAGCGCAGCTGCATCACCCTGTATTGGTCTGCTTTTTTGTGGTGGGTTCTGAA